GCCTCCCGCCCCGCCTCCCGTCCCGCCTCCCTCCAACCGCCGCGCGAAACGCGACCGTTTCCGAAGCACCGCCGAAAGGAGACCGAGTCTTTCATCGAGAGCCGCTCGGAGGAACGAGGCCGACGCGGCGGCGGTCGTCGCGACCGGATCGTCGCCGACGTTTCATGTCCGGAGAGCGCTTGGATCGACGACGACGCTCCAACCGCCGCGCGAAACGCGACCGTTTCCGAAGCACCGCCGAAAGGAGACCGAGTCTTTCATCGAGAGCCGCTCGGAGGAACGAGGCCGACGCGGCGGCGGTCGTCGCGACCGGATCGTCGCCGACGTTTCATGTCCGGAGAGCGCTTGGATCGACGACGACGGATTGTCGGGGCCGCTTCCGATCTCGACGACGAGAAGAAGAAGAACCGCGATGGTCGATTCGGACGCCAGGGGGACTTTGCCGCCGTTTTCGGGTCGCGCTTTTATTTGAAAAAAGGCACGAAAGACGTTTCGAATCGAGGCGGGATCCGCGTCGGCCAACGGAAACGCGGAGGATCCTCCGCCGCGCCGAGCGGTCCGGAAACGCCGACGGGCTAATCCTGCGGCGCGCCGGTCATCTCGAGACTCCGACTTCCCGCGTCCGGAAAGCGAGGAAAGGCCTTCCTTCAAACGTGGGGGGCGACCTTTCGGCCGCAAGGGGGGGCGGCCGCGGTCGTTCCTCCCGTTCAACTTGGCGCAGCGAAGCGGGCGAGGGCGAGGGCTTCTCGAAATCGACTCCTCGGCCGTTGAGATATTTTGAGCGAGTCCAATCGATGTCTTTGGCGTCCTCCTTTTTCGGAATCGGATCGGTTCAGGTGACCGCGAGGGAACGCGGGCGGGACCCCCGAACGGACGAGCTCGGAGTCGGGCGGCGTTCGGGAAAGCTGCCTCTCGCCCTTCGGCGCGCTTCGCTCCGCCCAAGTTGACCGGCGATGAGAGAGCGAACGCTGTTTTTGGAAGTATTTTCCGTCGCCGGTCCGAACATCGCCGTGCCCGGCGCCCGGGAATGTTTGTTTGTCCTCGAGCTGAAAGCGAATCGGGGGGGAGGGGGGGGGCCACTTTTGCAGGTCGGCCGGGCACGACCCAGGGTGCGCTCGCTTCACAGAGTTGCGTGCGCAAGCGTTTGGCCGAACGCTTTTTGCCTCCCGGGTGCGTTTTCAAGCGACGGACGGCCTTTCCGATCCCGCCCGGCCCGCCGTCATCTCGCCGCGAGCTCTCGTGCGTCTGCGTCGGGCCGTCGCGTGAGGCCGTCGCCCGGCGCGGGACGCGGCTCGAGCGACCGGCGTTCCCGCGTTGGGGCGCCGGCCCGAGGAGACACGACGAGCGGAAAAGATTTCTCGGCCGTTTCCTCAATTTCACGCTTCATACGAACGACCGCGCGGAGGTCGACGCGAGTCACGCGAGCGCTTTGTTGCGACTTTCCCGTCTGCGGACTTACTTGTCAGAGAGAGGTCGCTCCCGGGAAGAAACGCGTCCGTTCGGTCCTCGCGCGAAGACGCGGGGAGAATTTCAGACGCCCGGTCGACTCGCGATGCGTCGGAGACCCGACGGAGACCCGCGACGTGCTCCGTCAAGACTCGATGACGGCCCGATCCCAAAAACTCGCTCGAGTCCCGATGACTGAGCTCGTGCGAGAAAACAAGCGAAGCGTCACGTTTGCCGGGTGGCGGCGAGGGAGGAGCCGGCGGGGGACTCGACGACACTCGGGAACGCTCGATCCGAAACAAACAAAGTCCCGAAAACAAAAAGAATCCAAAGTAGCAAAGAAAAGCACCACCGACAACAAACGCAAACGGCAACAACGAGCCGACGCCGACGCCGGGAGTCCTTTGCGAGCGCTCGTTGGATAACGAGCGGCAGG